GGGGCTTGCTTTAAATCTTTCATTTATAATATTGCTTTTGAGATAATGGGGACCAAAGAACAAACTAGTACTTTTTTAACTTTTAATCGCTAATAAATGCAATAGAAGAGCGTAAATCTTGCTATTTTTGGCTACAGCATGATAGTGGTATAACAGCTGATTTCTTTGAAGTATCATATGGCACTGCAATCACTACTATGCAAGTGCTATAGGTGAAAATCAGTGCTGCAGAGATGGAGAGAGCAAGTCTGGCCAGGGGTAACTAGCTTAAGTTGCTAGGCAACCTAATAATCTCAATGGAATAATCCACCCACGCAACGGAAGTTTCCTATCCCTTTCATTTACTCTAATATCTATGTCCGGTCCAAACTGTAGAGCCACACCCCTTTTACTGGGCCCCCTACCAGGCTATGTTAATAAATAAATTATTTCAAATACAATGAAAGAACTGTACCATGTCCTGAGGATCGGACCATAACTCAAACCTATACAATAAAGACAATAGAGAATGTACAGGTTATTAATCTAATACCTTCCTCTGGGGGTTGTCTGTTTCGATCTATTTTTCTTAAATCATGACATCATCAGTACTGAACAGGCCCCCCATGTATAACCTGTGTGATAGCAAATAAAAGGATAAAATAGATTGAGAGAAATAAGATCTAACCAAGACTTTATTGTCAATGACATGTGCTAATGGTAACCAGTTAAAGACCTCAGTAAATAAATCAGCCATTTTACCATTGTATCTATTAGCAGAGAGAGAGACTCTATTCATTCATTTACAATTGCATTTACTGACTTTTTCTTCACTTCTCCTTCAAAACAATACATTTGATTCATTGTTATTAACTCATGATTGCCTAGAAAGATTAAATAGTCTACATGTACCACAGTACCAAACAGAAAGTGAAATACAACACTTAAAATCTCAAATACCAAATTCATATTCATATGGTTTTATATAGGGCTGTATATGTAATAGCTACTGTATAGCAAGAAATTTTTGTTGAGTGCTAATTTGTATTTGTTTCGTTAGCCAAAATTTTGAACAAAATTTATAGATATTGAAAATTTAATCTAACTAAAATTTGTGACACACCCTTTTCCACTACAGCCACAGCATAGTGATCTGTAGCATCATCAGGCTCGACACAGAAGGGCAGTTCTTCTCCAACTGATGGGCTCCAAATGTCTTTATAAATGTGGTAACCACAAACCATAGACATTCTTCCATTAAACAATAGACATGGCACTAATAAAGTGGGCGTGACAGTGAAAATTTATGTTAGGCAAAACGCAACAAAAATATCTTGTAAAGCAAGATGAAGAAAGTTTCTGGCAACAAAAATTTCCTGCTATACGGTATTAATAAATATTCATATTATACATACATAATGAATATACAGTATATTTCAAACTTCTTATCA